GATATAATTCCGATATCGATATGAACACTATTTATCTGAAATAGAAATCTTTTGTAACATTATAAATGCCTTTATCACTTTTGATGAATTTTAAGCATCCTTGCTAAATAAAAGTATTAATTTCTTTCCAAAAAAATAATAAAAAGTATACTGAATGGAATAGTGTATAATGTTACAAAAGCTTTTTATTTCAGATAAATGCTGATCTTTGGATCTTTCTATTTCAAAATAATAAAAACTATAATAGCAGTGGTTTCTACAGTAATGGCCGTATACAAATCAGCTCCGCTCATGAACGCTACTTTATCAGATCAAATGAAAATGCCATCAAAACTTTTCTGAAGACAGCTGGTTCCCTTCAGAGATACATTCATATAAAACACCCGCGCCGTGTTATGATTTTGTAACGTGCAGTGCTCATGTTTATTCCAGTCTATGGTTTATTCAACTAAACCAAACACCACAAATAAATAATTGTATGGGAAACACTGGTAATATATATATAAAAATCGGAAATGTGTTTAAAGACATATCACCGTTATTGAAAAAAAAAAATATCGCGATACATATTGATACTGAATTATTGTCCAGCCCTAGTTTGATGGATATTTACTGGTTGATGTATATGGTCGGATAGATAAGGATACATAGATATAGGTGGCTAGATACGATAGAAGGATAAATGCAGTTAATACAATATGCTAGAAAATGGTGGGCAAACCTGCCTTTTGTTTGGTTTTAAATTCTTTTGTCTTGTTTTCACAGGCCAGGCCATGGAGATTGGGAGTGCTGCCCTCAACATCCTGGTGGAATGCTGGGACGGGCACCTCACGCCTCCGGAGGTAGCGTCACTCGCAGACCGCGCATCACGAGCTCGGGATCCCAACATGGTGCGTGCTGCGGCAGAGCTGGCTTTGAGCTGCTTGCCTCACGCTCACGCCCTCAACCCCAATGAGATTCAGAGAGCCCTGGTGCAGTGCAAGGAGCAGGTATTGTCCAGCACATCCTACATTCATTGCACATAATAATCCATAAATTTTTACTCTAATGATATAATAATCATCTGCTTGTTGCCTTTAAAGAACACATTTCTACATTCAGAACTCAGAACTACATTACTCTTTTCAGGATAATGTGATGCTGGAGAAAGCTTGCATGGCAGTTGAGGAGGCTGCAAAGGGAGGCGGTGTTTATCCTGAGGTCTTGTTCGAGGTGGCTCACCAGTGGTATTGGCTGTACGAGCAAACAGTGGGTGGAGGCTCTGGGGCCCAGCGAGAGGGGTCCGGCCGCTGTGGGGCCAATGGTGGAGCAGGGAGAACGCCACCCGAGGGAAGCTGTGGTATCCTGGATAACACGGGAGCCTTGGATCCATCAGGTGTTGCATCTGTAACTACAACAGTGACAGCAGCCGCCGTAGTACCTGTCATTTCTGTTGGCTCCACCATCTACCAGTCACACGCACTGCCGGGCTCAGCCATGGGACACACGCAAGGCCTGCATCCCTACACCACCATCCAAACCCATCTGCCTACCGTCTGCACCCCCCAGTACCTGGGCCACCCCCTTCAGCACATTCCCCGTCCTGTCTTCCCTGTGTCTGGGACGGCCTACCCACAAGTATGAGCTCTCTTTCTTGTGTTATGATTTATGGGTTTCAATTATTTGTGCTTAGAATTTTTATTTCAGTCTGTAATATTATTTGTCTGCATTTAACTGAAGATGATAAATACTAAACTTAAATACTAATGCAGACTCTTACTTGGCAGTCAGTGATGCATAGCGCAACATTCCTGGCAGAATATAAATGGAGAGAGACTCCTAGCAGTTTGTTTATATGTGTATGATGATCTTTACAACTATTCCCTTGGATTAATTTAATTTTGTGGCTTTTTAATTTTTTGACAGCAGGTATATGACTCAAGGAAGGCGTATCCAAGCGGTTTTAAGAGCATCTGTTTGTCTTCTCAGGGAATGCACCCTGCTTTTATTGGTGCTCAGTACCCATTCTCTGTGGCCACTGGCCCTCATCCTCCTATGGCAGCGACCGCTGTCACTTTCCCTGGAGTTGCTGTGCCATCCATGACTCAGATCGCTGTCCACCCATACCATACCGCAGAGGCAGTCCTGCCTCTTAGCACTACTGTGGCAGGTAAGAACAAGAAGTTAGATTTCAATTCCATCTTAACATGAAGACAATTTTTGGGCATATTATCGAATGTTATTTAGATGAATGCTGAATAGATGCAAGGTTTTTTTACTTTTGCAGCAGTTTGCCAGAAATTAAAGGGGTGGTTGATTGCGATTTCACTTTTTTTACGTTAGTTAGTGTGTAATGTTGCTGTTTGAGCATAAACAATATCTGCAAAGTTACGAAGCTGAAAGTTCAATGCAAACGGAGATATCGTCTTTTAAAATTCTGGCAGTTTAATGCCTACAAAAACGGCTGGTAGGGACTACAACAAGTTACTTCCCGGGTTCGTGGAGTAACAAACCCAGATAAACCCCGTGCTCGGGAAAAGGCAACAAAGGGGGCGAGGCCATGCTGCACTGCTTCAGAGAAGAGGAAGAGAAAACTAGAGGTGCACGTAAAAATCTATTCATATATGAATCGCGATTCTGTCTTCTAACGATTCTAATGGATTCACAAGTTTCAAAATCAATGTTCTATAACACGTTAGACTGCACCCCATAAACGCAATCAAGCCTAGAAAAAAAAACAGTGAACCACCCCTTTAATAGTACTTTCATCCGATGTAATTGAAATTATTTATAATTGCAAGAGAAGAAAGAGCCAAATCAGGCCTTTGAATAGCTGTTTGATTCTATGTAAGGGTGGTTCTTCACATGTTGAGATCACATGACCAACTGTAAAATTAATTATATCTCAGAAAGCTTTGAATATTTGGTATCGATCCACAAAAATTCAAAACCAATGGACCATTTTCAGACTGTGATGTGTTTCCACAATTATTAACATCAAAAATCTACCAAAGTTTTTTTTTTTTTTTTTAAGTCAATATACATTGTAACAGAAAAGTAGTTTGCTGCTGCTGAGTATTTCTAATACAACGGCTGAAGGAGTGATGGCAAATTTGACATCTTTCAGTAACCACACCAAAAAAAAGACAGCCTTCAGTCATAGGACAGGTCACAGTCTAAGAGACTTGATGTCACAACTTGCTAGTCAAAATGGCCTTTGCATAATAGAATGATCAGTGAAAAAAAATTTAAATTCATCAGGAATCGTTTTAGAATTGGGTTGTGACTCCTTGAATCGAAATTGGATCTAATTGTGAGATTCCCACTCCTAATTATCAGACACTTTCAGTTGTGGAATAATTAATCTGTTATTATTTACTCATGGGTGGCAAATATTACATGTACAAATATTACATTTACTCATTTAGCCATCTGAAGATTTTAACCAAAGTGACTTACATAAGCAATTTGTCACAGAGGCAACCATATTCATAGTGTACATTGTACAATGTCAGGTTTGTTAGAAAGGTAGATTATTAAACAAGCTTTTGAAGCAGAGGTGAAATGCAGAAAAGAAGAGCTTTTTGTGTTTGTGTGTTTGCAAAGCTCTACAATGGCACTGGTAGAGAAAAGACCACACCTCTAGGTGTGAATGTATATAATTCAAGGCCAGTGAAATGATTATTTAGTGCACCTTTACTTCAGTGCAGACAAGAGTTCATTACTGTTCTTACCAGTTCACCAGAGATTGTTGAGAAGCCATGCTATCAGACAGTTGGCAAATTCATAGACAAGACACCATGAACATCCTCATCTTTTTTTTTGCCCAGCAGGAGGAGTACACTCAGGCTCCACCATCCAGGCCATACAGGGGGCTTCTCTTACAGGACTCTCGTCCCAGCCCGCCTCACTGGTCAGCGCACCCTTCCCTGTGGAAGACGAGCAGCACAGTCAACCAATCAGCCAGCAGGGCCTGCACTACCTCCACTCGGCCTACAGAGTCGGTAAGGACGCATGATTTCTAATTGCATAGACCCTTTAGGGCATGGCTTGCCTGTCCTTATGTTGCTGTTTTGCACCCATTAGGATCCATCTGGTCCTGAATTGTGGTGATTAATTATCAAGAGAGGTGAGGGAGAGATCGGTTGAGTCCATGTTGCAGGACTGACAAAGAACTCTCACAGTGAGAAATATTAATTAAGGCATGATTTCCGTTATATCAGTACTCATAAGTCCTGGAGATTAGGACGTTGGGTGCATGTGCCAATTCAATACATGATCAGTACAGTGTCGTTCAGTACAGAGTGTTAATGGTGAAATCTTCCTGTCCTCATTTAGGCATGCTGGCCTTGGAGATGTTGGGAAGGAGGGCCCACAACGATCATCCAAACAACTTTTCCCGTAGCCCCCCGTACACTGAAGACGTCAAATGGCTGTTGGGCCTGGCTGCGCGTCTTGGTATGCCCACATATCTTTGCAATATATCCTATAGGAAAAACAATTTTTCTAAAGTCCTGTTTCATTTCCTGTTACCCGCTATAATAGCTGGAAGTAGACTGTAAATGATGTGTTGACAGTTTACCTTGCCTTCAGCGGACAAGAGTGGAGAGGTGATTTAACAGCAGAGTCTCCAGCGGAGTTATTGACATCCTGATATCTTTCCTCTAACTCTGAGCTTTATCCCATGCTGATCACAGCATGTTGCCAGTTTTCATGGGCCTAAATGTTACAATTGAAAATGTAGAAGTAGACAATATTTTGCCATGTTCAGGTTAGGCATTAGGGTTGTGACGGTGAGGAAATTTTCCCACCGGTTAATCGAAGTGTGACAACACCAGTAATACCGGTATCAGCGCGGGGGCGTTCCCTCTTTTCCTCGCTTTTCTTCGCTTTTAAATAGCTTGTAAAAGTGGCGTGTGCATTTTACTTTCACTTTCAAATAGTGGCAATTCGGAGTAAAGCAATTGTTCTTTTGAATTTTCCCTCTTTTCCTCGCTTTCCTTCGCTTTTAAATAGCTTAAAAGCGCCGTGCGCATTTTACTTTCACTTTAGAATTAGCGGCAGTTAGGCGTCAATTGCTTGAATGCAACAACAAAATACAACGTCAAACTCACTTTAGCGTATATATAAAACATTGAACTTTTATTAACAAAACAAATAAAAATACACCATGCTATAGGGCAGGCTATGCCTAATGTAAAATAACAAATAACTTGTATAGTTAATGTACAAAACTGTAAACATGTATAATATATAACCAAATAAATAAGAAACGTAGAACGTTTATTAGCAAAACGAGTAAGAAAGCTTGGAGGCACGGCATACACCTTGATGTCAAATAAAATAAATAAATGACACAAAGTTTAAATAAAGTCAAAATCAGCAAACAATGTGGAACCAATTAAATAAGAAACGAATGTTTAAAAAGACTTCCAAAATCACCTTAGATAAATGGCAAAAGTCAACAGGCTTTTCAAAATTCAAAATATTGCCAAACAGGCACTTTTGCATTTAGTTTCGAAACTAAATAATTCGCGATCGTCTAGTCTGTCTCACCTCACTCTTCTTGTCAGTCAGCTCGACTCGCTCTCCTCACTGGAGAAATGAAATCTGATCTGTGATGCAACTGTCGTTCAACTGCATTGAGCAGCCGCGTTCAGTTTTTAATTGTAGTGTCTGTTCTTTTACTGAACTAAATTATATTTATTACTATAAAAAATCAAAACGACGGTGGGGGTCGGTGACGCGGTGGGCAAGTGACGTAACCGGTGTTGCGGCTTAACACCGGTATCACCGTCAGCACCGTCTATCGCGGCAAGCCTATTAGGCATCTAATGAAATGACTAGTGTATGTCTTGTTGCTTTGCTAATGGTCCCCACTGGAATGGATGAATAGCTTAATTAATCAGATGGTAATGACATACACCTGCACATGCTTCCTTTAAAGGGATATTCTGGGTTAAATACATTTTAAACTGTATTTGCCAAGCAGCGCATAGACTAGTACAGACTGTGTGAGTGAACTGACTGCAATTTCCCCTCCGTTATCACTCTACCAGCCCTCCAACTTTTAAAAATCAAATTTTTTGCTTTAGATACTCCACTTACTCTAGTCTGGAACATCACAAACAAACAAGTGTGGTGAAACATCCAAGTTGCTTTTTAATACTAAATGTCAGCACACTTAAATCGCAACTTGACAAATGAAATTACAGGGCTGCTGATTGATCAGAATATTTAATGGCGTAATTTGGTTAATGCTTTCAGTTCCAAGATAACTAAATAACAGGCCTTTGTGGAATTATTAAATTGAAGCACACCTTCATATATAATTTATCTTTTTATTTGAACATTTTCTGTTATATTTTTGCATTGAAATGTAGAGAATATTATTGAATTTATTTTAAAAATTTACATTTTAATGTATTTGGATGTAATGTAACATACTCTCAGCCCAGTAAAAACATTGGGCCCTTCTGTTCTATATTTTCTCAAAATGCACAGGAAATGAAAATACAATACAATAATATAAGATTAATTATATTATAAAACAACTTACATCAGATTTTATGGATGTAATCTATGAAAATGCAGTCCTCCACAGTTGTTTAGCATTAACATTTCTACCACTTAATGTGTTTAACTTGTGGGTGATATTTCACTTGCTGAGCTTCGATGATAATTACATTTCACCATATAAAGAATGCAAATTACTTGACCACAATAAAATATCCGGTCTGGGTTTGATTTATGACTAAATTATTCATAAAGATGGTCATATCCGGTCTGGGTTTGATTTATGACTAAATTATTCATAAAGATGGTCTTTCTCAAATTTACTGAGGTGTTAAGCTATAGCTGTGATCCCGAGATTTTCTGTCTTGGACTTATAGGCTCATTGTATCTTATGTATCTGGGGAAAAAGTGAAATGTAAACAAAGGTGATGGGCAAGAAAAAGACCATATTGAAATGGTTGTTGTATATTGACAGTGCTTTTTGCACGGATTTAAATGATAATCAGAATAATAAATTATAATTAAATTGAAAGAAACTATTAAAATTAAAAAAGAACACAATGTATCAGAGATTCTTTTTAGAATGTTTCCTTATTCTTCCTCCTCTGCCTATATTTCTCCTCAGGTGTGAACTACGTGTACCAGTTTTGTGTTGGGGCAGCGAAAGGTGTTCTTAGTCCGTTTGTCCTGCAGGAGATCATAATGGAGGCTCTGCAGAGGTTAAACCCTGCACATATCCACGCACACCTCCGCACTCCAGCCTTCCACCAGCTCGTGCAGCGCTGCCAGCAGGCCTACTTACAGGTACAGACTCACAAATCCCTAAGATTCAGCCTGGGGAACTAATCACACTGACATTATTACTAATAACATCCCTAATTGGATGAAATGCTGAAATAAATCCGTACCCGGATGATGACGATGATCCACCAGGAGCAACATGCATTCTTCCACTGACAGAAGCAGTTAAAATTACACTCTTAACACATGAGATGATCCGTCGCAGCTGACATTTTGTATTGAATGCGGTGCAGCCATCTCAAAGTTCGTTTTCATATTCGTTAGACTTAGTTTCAAGTTTCAAGTAGAGAATTTGAGTAGGGTTTTAGAACATTCAAGTGGTGCCGAGGGTGGATTGTGATGGCATTGTCGCCCACGCTGAATATAAATTGTGCATGAACAATTCTGGAGTGTTAAAGCTAGAGAGGGAAGCCTGAGTCCGTTCACAGGATGGAGCATACTGATGAGAGAGCATCAAACACACTGTGACAGCCCAAAGCCAAGAGTGGCTTCCTAGAGAAGCAGCACACACATACAGTTACCTGCTAGCCGGCTCAGAGGCTTTATTTTGCTATTTCAAAGAGGTTTCAAGTTGTCGCATGGGCAAACAATGCACGTCTGCGCAAGTGGCCACTCTCGTGGTGGCCTTAAATTTTAAAATGCCCAGATCAAGGAGAGACTCACTCTACCATATGTCTGCCACTGTAAATCTTTGCAAATGATTGTTGGGTATATGTGAAAGGGAGACAGTGCCAGCTCTAATTCACTCTGTCCATGCGTGGATAATGAGATGAGGGACCGAGAGGCTGTACTCAAGCAGAAACCTACCCAGACTGTCACCGAGTCATTTTGTACGTCACTGGTGGGAAATGTATTCCATATGCTGCGTGTCCCTATAAACATCCGGGGACATGATGCTTCATAACCTGTTTACATATTATTAAAACAGGTTCAGGTTAGTGCCATCTAGTAGCAAGAATATTTATGAATTTATCATGTCGCACATGTTTAACCACAGGGAGATCAAAAAGGCATGACAGTAATGAAATGTTGTTGAACGACAAGTAAATGCAATTAGAACTAGAAACTAAACTAAACTCAAAACCCCAGAGTAAGCGGCATGTATTATTTAGTTATTTATTTATTAAATATATATTCTTGTATTTATGTATTCATCAGCTTGCAAACTAAATGCATAATGAAATACTGGTTTGAGTTAGTTAAATTGTTTTATCTTGTAGATTAGCTTAAAGCTTCTGCTAAGAAAAGTAAAATTACTCCATAAAAAAATCTGAAACAATGAAACAATATTATAATATTCATTTACATTGTCACAAATTTGCAGTTGAACATGCGTATCTACCTTTAAAATCTCTTTCATCCAGCTTTCATCTCTTAAAAGCTCCTTGTTTTTCCACTTCATTCCAACAACAAAAAAATTCTTTGTGATTTTCCATTTAAAGTTTAATATGTTGTTCTTCCTTTAAAACAGTCCTTTTTTCCCATTGAATATAATTGAAAAAAAATATGAGATGGGATGAAAAATTTTATTTCAACAGTTTTGATTTGCTTGCAAAACTTTTAACTTTGAAACACATTTTCTCAAGGAAATGCAAAAGTATAAACATTTAGTTTTTTCTTCCATCTCATTTTTTTCCCATCACCAGAACTTTTGCGTTCCCCTGCAAAGCTTGTAACAATTTTTATTATGAGTGTTGTGCTGCTTAATATATTTGTAATACAATTAATTAATAAAATTAAAACTAATAAATTTTTTTCAGGATTCTTTGTTGAATAGAAAGTTCAAAAGAACAGCATTTATTTAAAATAGAAATCTTTGCAGAAACTAAGAAATGTCTTTACAGTTTATCTGGGCAATGTAACAGTTTTGTAAGTAAAAACATTAAAGGGGGCATAACACACACAGTTTCACCCAATCTCATGTTAATCTTGAGTACCTATAGAGTAGTACTGCATCCTTCATATCTCCAAACAATCTTTAGTTTTATCATATTTATAAAATAAGATACAGCTTTACGATTCTCTCCGGAAAAAGCCGAGCTCCTGGAGGCGTGCCGTGGGCGGAGCTAAAGAGTGACGAGCACTTGAGCGCCGAATGCCAACAAAACAAGACATTTGATGCCGTTTCACTTACCGTCTGCAGTTCTGAATCATGACCGGGATCTTTTATAGCTGGGACCGCTCCATCTTTCAGTATCAAACGATGTGCAAATCCAGCGTCGAACTGGGCCTTGTTTATAAAACGTTCGTCAACAAACACACTTGTGAAACTCCATTGCTGCCCCGGAAAAACAAACTGTATCCACTGTTTACATAACGCTGGGTTCTTTAGGAAGCTGAACAATGTTATCTTTCCCTTACAACCAAAAACACACTTCTTTGGATTGGAGACATTCTTCCCGAGTCCATCTTTCAGTATCAAACGATGTGCAAATCCAGCGTCGAACTGGGCCTTGTTTATAAAACGTTCGTCAACAAACACACTTGTGAAACTCCATTGCTGCCCCGGAAAAACAAACTGTATCCACTGTTTACATAACGCTGGGTTCTTTAGGAAGCTGAACAATGTTATCTTTCCCTTACAACCAAAAACACTTCTTTGGATTGGAGACATTCTTCCCGAGCAAGTCCCGTGCAGTGCTGCCGCTGGATGAAGCGCTTTGATGGGCGCGATCTCACTCTTGCTCTGGTCGATGCGTGTGCGGGCGTGCTCTTCCGGGAGAAATGCCCATATAAGGAGTTCCACCCTCGTCTACGTCATGAAGAGCCACGATAGATAAAAACTCTCCGAAACTTGTACGAACCCGGACGTAAGATTTTTGGCACAGAAATACTCTGTCATACGTCCAAATTGTTTTTTGAAACTTTGAATCCAACTCTTTAACAGTGTAAACAACTCTGAATGCATGAAACAGCATTGTACCCCCCCTTTAACGATTTTTCCATCCATCTCACGTTTTCATCGCTATGTTCCCTTACGTGCTCTGTTTCACTCAGTAATGTGTGACATTATTAAAGGCTTGCTAACTGCAATTCATAATGATTGCAAATTGTACGTTTGACACATTTGGCTCAAATGGTTTTAATTTAGATGCATATAACCATATTTTATACCTAACACGTTAACATTTATTCCTCAACTGATTACTAAACTGTAAAAAGAAAATGGTGATGTCCATAAATTAAAAATCTTAGTTAATCTTTAACTAAAATGACCTTGGAACAGTCTCCATTATTGAATGACTGAATTCATGTCCAACTGCTTGTTTATGTTTGTTCCAGTATATCCACCATAGGCTGATCCATCTGACTCCTGCGGACTATGACGACTTTGTGAACATCATCCGAAGTGCCCGCGGAGCGTTTTGCCTGACACCAGTTGGCATGATGCAGTTCAATGACGTGCTGCAGAACCTAAAGAGGGGCAAACAGACTAAAGAACTATGGCAGCGGATCTCGTTGGAGATGGCCACTTTCTCACCCTGACTACTCTAGAGACCAGCGGGGACAGAGAGGCCCAATCTTCCCCACAGACCACTATCACAGCTCAATCCGACACGCAGCACTCTCCGTTCCCCTTGATAGGAAGTGTAGCCATGACGACTTCCTGTACAAGCCCACTCACATGACCGAACATTTAGTCCTTCAGGCCCTGAAGTCATGAGAAAGTGGTACAGAGATACTGGGGCATGTGAATTACTCCAGTCAATGGGTCCCTCCTTCGTTGAGTTGTTGATCCCAGTGTTGTGTCTGATCTTATTTTTGTTCTCTTTTTTTGGTGTGTTCAGTCGAGTAATTTAATGGCTATCTTGTTTTATCTACGAGTCCTAACATCTTTCATTCACTGATTTCTATGCTTTGTGATCCCCTGAGTTCATTTAGATGGTTAATACGGGGACAAAGGTTTTCACTTGCTATGTTGATGTTTGGTTCACGTTTAAACAAAACCACTAAATGTCAGACTTATTCTGCAACATTCCTCTACCCTGGAGAACAGAGCCTCCATCGGTCATAAAGGATTTCAACGTTGGATAGTGGATGGCATTGTAAACATGAGGAGAATAAAAACACAACTTTAAAAGAATAAAAGAGACATTTATTATGAAACGATAATCAAAGTACGGGTGAGGATTCTTCAATGTTTTTGTTTTATCTTTTGTTTTTAATATTTTGTATAGTATGGTGTGTCTACAGAGAGCAGGATGAAGAATGGAAGAATGTTATTACTGACTGCTCACTGACTGCTCTGTGAGTTCCTTTTTCCGGTCAGATGTTGGTGGCTTGAGTGCTGGAACAGAGAAGTCTGGCTGGACCAGATTACACAAGCTTTAATTTTTGAAATTCAAGACATCAGCGGTGACTTCACTCAAAAACAATTCGGGCTTCCTGTCGTTTAAATTGGGTTCTTTTATATTTGAATTCTAGCTGTTTCTGATACCATTAATACGAACCACACAATTTCATTTTTCTGTTCTCATTTTAAAATAGGTTAACTGCTCCCCTCTGTCTAACATTAGTTGAGTGGTCTATAAATGCCACTGCCAGATTCCCGTGTTTCCAGCATCGGCCCCAGCTTGGAACTCGCTAGTGGAGAGTGACTGAGTAGAAAATGTACTGTGATATTTTTGTATTCTTCAAGTGTAGCTTGGTTGGGAAAAAACAAACAAAAAAATCTATATAAATACATATAAATTGTGCTGATTGCGAGAGGATGTAATCTAGAATAAATGGGGAAAAGAGAAAAACTAAATTGGAACGAAGCAATATTAAAAATGTAGAGTTTACTTAATAAAGATCAATCAAAACACTAAGAGAGTTTATCGGTGTCTGTTTATGTTCTAACCATTATATACACTACTGTTCAAAAGTTGGTCAGTTTTTGATAGAAAAACAAGGCTGCATTTAATTGATCAAAAATAGTAAAAACAGTAATATTATTATGAAATACATTAAATATTATTAACATGTAAAGTAAGTGTTTTGTATTTTAATATATTTTAAAATGTAATTTATTCCTGTGATGGCAAAGCTGAATTTTCAGCAGCTATTACTCCAGTCTTCAGTGTCTCATGATCCTTAAGAAATCATTCTAATATGTGACCCTGGAGCACAAAAGCAGTCTTGAGTCGCTGGGGTATGTTTGTAGCAATAGCCAAAAATACATTGTATGGGTCAAAATTATTGATTTTTCTTTTATGTCAAAAATCATTAGGACATTAAGTAAAAATCATGTTCCATAAATATATTTTGTAAATTTCCTACCGTAAATATATCAAAACTTAATTTTTGATTGGTAATATGCATTGCTAAGAACTTCATCTGGACAACTTTAAAGGCGATTTTCTCAATATTTAGATTTTTTTTTTGCACCCTCAGATTCCAGATTTTCAAATAGTATCTCGACCAAATAATGTCCTATCCTAACAAACCATGCATCAATGGAAAGCTTATTTATTCATATTTCAGATTATGTATAAATCTCAATTTCAAAAAATTGACCCTTATGACTGGTTTTGTGGTCCAGGGTCACAAATATGACATTTTGAAGTAGAAAGACTAAAATAGCATTTTGTTGTAAAAATTTACTCAAATAATCTAGTTTTATTTACAACTTAATGTGTAAAATAATTTAAAAATCATGTTTACAGTCTGTGTGTGTTCTCCAAACTGTATTTGAACTATTTCTCAAGACTATGATAAATCATGAATTAATCATAGTGCTATCAATCACACACTCTTGGCTGTTTATGAGTTATGGTGGATTAATTAAATGTCAACTTGAAGACTATCCTGAAATGCATGTCTGGCAATCGTAGCATCAAATTCAGGCCAGTGTAAGTTTCAGCAATGCATTCTCATACACACCAGCATAATAAGCATGTTATGCTGGTACCTGAAATGATCTCAATCATTAGTGAAAGCTGTGTCGTTAGTGTGGGTGTGTGCGTTGTTATTGTGTACAGTGTAATCATTTGTATGTGTGTTTCAAACTCACAGGTGCTTGAGAAAATTTCATCATGAATTTAAGCCCGAGGCACTCAAAACACAGTTTCACAAGATAAGAACGGCTAAAATTACAAAGAACAATTTATGGCATCTGTACAAATGGGCCATAGAGCATTGAAATGCATTTTCAAACCTCATTCTGTTAATGGTTTACAAATAGTTCCACCAGTTTAGACCAGTTTTTCCATCCCTAATCAAAGCTGTATTTATCTAGCACATGAATTGAGAAAAACAGGAAAGCATTTCTTTAAGATTAACATGAAACTGCATTCACAACCTGTTTTTCTTCTCTAATGCGACATTTCTGAGTGAGAAATTATATTCAACAAGAAAAATGTAGGTCGGGACTTTTATCCATTGGGATTTTCATCCTTCGAGAAAAGTGGGCGTTCTAGACCCGATTTTGCGTTTGCATTTGATTGTGTAGGCCTACCCCCTCTTGAAACACTGCTGGGAGCCACTTTTAACTGGGACGTGGTGGCTGAAGGTCAAGTTCACCCTCAAGAGCATCACAATGTATCCCAATGTTAATGCTTTTTTGTTATTTGTTAAGTTATTGCAATTTGTTCATTTGTAAATTACATTAACATCAGCCAGAATGAATGAATTATTTAGAAAGGCACCATTACCGACAAAAGCAACCTAAAACAAAGACTAAATATTTATTTATTCATTCATTCAATCATTCATTTATGAATGTGAATAGTTTACAACAAGACCAAAACAGTGTATTAATAAAGTAAATACTATATAGGGTCAGCTTTTGATTCCTCAGGCTTTGCGTACAGTCACTAACAAGTTCTTCCTTCCCACATACTGTAAATAAAGGCATTTCATGTCAGCCCACAGGAAATTGAGACTCAGATGTGATTGTTTCAGTTCTGGCATCAGCACTCCAGGAGCAACGTTTGATGGAAATACAGGAAGAGCTCTTTTGATCTTTCTCTGTAGGCTCTATGCACACTTACAAACCCTTCTGGGAAGAGAAAATGTGACGTACTGCTAGGAGGTGAAAAGAGTGCATACACGTGCGTTTCAAATGATGGATGACTAGTTTGCTTTTTAATGTTTGTTCATAGTTTTTGTTGCAAAAATTGTGCTGATAAGTTTATAGTGCACTTTCAGAGCTCACACTTACTGCTTATGTACACAGTGTGAATACTGCTACGATAGGCGGTGAAATAAATACATACTGCTTTTGCATGCAGTGTGAAACAGGTCTTACACACACACACACACACTCACACACTCACACACACACATTCTTTGGTTTCAGCATGGCAGTAGACAATCGAAGAACATAGGTTCAGTACTTAATAAAGATCAATCAAAACACTAAGAGAGTTTATCGGTGTCTGTTTATGTTCTAACCATTATATACACTACTGTTCAAAAGTTGGTCAGTTTTTGATAGAAAAACAAGGCTGCATTTAATTGATCAAAAATAGTAAAAACAGTAATATTATTATGAAATACATTAAATATTATTAACATGTAAAGTAAGTGTTTTGTATTTTAATATATTTTAAAATGTAATTTATTCCTGTGATGGCAAAGCTGAATTTTCAGCAGCTATTACTCCAGTCTTCAGTGTCTCATGATCCTTAAGAAATCATTCTAATATGTGACCCTGGAGCACAAAAGCAGTCTTGAGTCGCTGGGGTATGTTTGTAGCAATAGCCAAAAATACATTGTATGGGTCAAAATTATTGATTTTTCTTTTATGTCAAAAATCATTAGGACATTAAGTAAAAATCATGTTCCATAAAGATATTTTGTAAATTTCCTACCGTAAATATATCAAAACTTAATTTTTGATTGGTAATATGCATTGCTAAGAACTTCATCTGGACAACTTTAAAGGCGATTTTCTCAATATTTAGATTTTTTTTTTGCACCCTCAGATTCCAGATTTTCAAATAGTATCTCGACCAAATAATGTCCTATCCTAACAAACCATGCATCAATGGAAAGCTTATTTATTCATATTTCAGATTATGTATAAATCTCAATTTCAAAAAATTGACCCTTATGACTGGTTTTGTGGTCCAGGGTCACATATGCTGATTTGGTGCACATTCTTGAAAACAGCTGTGCTGCTTAATAGTTTTCTGATTTTTTTTTTATAATACATTTAAAATACAAATATTTTGTAAAGTTGTCTTTAATGTCATTTTTGATTAATGTATCCTTGCTAAATAAAAGTATTCATTCCTTTCTCTTACTGACCCCAAAGGTTTGAACGGTAGTTTATATCGGTAGTGGGATGAACGGATCTGATCAAATTCACAAGAAGTGTCAGAAATGACCTCGACTTGGAGAGAATCAACGTTGTACCGAGGGGGTTTTCGTCGCCTGGGGGCGCTAGAAGGTTAAATATCGAAACTGCTGAAACGTGGTCTATCGGGGATTCCGGTAGGTTTACATGAGGAACTGACATCACAAAACTGACATTCCTTGCTTATTCAATCACGCAGTTCGTTTAGGTGCCAAATGACACTTGCACATGATTTATGTGTTAATGCTACACTATACATTTAAGCTTATGGTAAGCAGTTTACTCAAATCACTTCAGGTAGTTTGTGCTTTAAAAACAAATGTGTCAAGAAAGATAATGCACGATACTCTCACACCGGTCCTTGTTTGGGCCCCTACCTGAAAATTAAAAAAAAAAAAAATCCGCTCGGAGGTGCACTCTTGGAAACAAGTCTTTCGAAATTGACCACAGTTGCGGGGGTTTTAATTCAACAAATGTATCCCTTATAGTATTTTAACATCTATTTTGTTCTAATAACTCCAAATTTTCAGTTAAACGACTTCAACACATCCACCTTAAGCTTCACCTTTTAAAATGCTTTCAGACAGTGTCATGTGAAATTGTGAGCAGCGGGAGGTTTCCCCCCATCGGGCGGACTGATTTGGTTTGTTCCAGAGTTTTCGGTAGGTAGAGCGTCTAGAGCCAACAAGCAGCATCATAGCCGAGTGAAGATGGCGGCTCAGAGAGTGATGCTGTTAACGAGCGTTTGAGTTCACCTCTCATTTTTAAACTTATTAAACCTTTGAGGATCCCTTACGGATAGCTGTATCAAAGAAAACTATATCGGTGAGTCATGGTTTGTGTTTTCTTCAAAATAACCGCGGTCTTGCCTCTTCGGAACTGAAGAAATGCTACGGCTAGCCGCGCTAACCTCGTTCTGAAGAAAATCAGAGGAGCGACTTCTCAACATGTTTTAATTTGAAACCCATTTTAGTTTACGCTGCTGTATTAAAAAAAAAAACCCGTGACATTTCCCTCTCTCCGAGCTCGGCTGTTTGTGTAAAGGCTGCGTCTAGCCGCAGAAGGGACTGTTGAGATTTGCAGTTTAGTGGAAGTTTTGAATAGTCACTGATTTCCATATACACATCCAGAAAGTGTTTAGGTAATATTAGTGACTAAACACATACACAAATCACCGCTTTCCTGCTCTTTACACAGTCTTAATGTGCAGTAACAGTGTCAGAGCGTGTGTAAGTTTGAGTTTCAGAGCAGCTGGGACAAAAGCAAAGCAGGATTTGTGTTGTATTTAAATGCATGTGTTTCTGTAACTTCGTGGGCAGATTGAGTCTGCATTGGCACCTTTACGCAGTCCATAGAAAATCCGAGCTGCTCTGCCAGCTCATGCCATAGAGACTCGTTTTGGGCTGTAATGAATTTTACATGGGCTTCATTCAATGCTCTGTTCTCGTTTAAGGTGAGGCGAGAGTATCTCGTGTCAGCCTGCAGTTGCACAGCTGTGTTGTTTTTGAAAATCTCTTTAAAATGATAATTCAGTGCGAGTTGCTCTAGCTGAGCGTTAACAGAATATGCTCTTGGATTCGTAGTACTTTGAACTGTTTGGGTGTTTTTAGTAATTTGCCTGCATGACGGGTTGTTTGGGTATTTTTGATCATATTTGGATCTTGCGTTAAGAAAAGATGCCTCTGTATTTGTGGGTTGTTAACGCATAACGTGTCCATTTTTATTACTAAGATTTAGTTTAAAATTTATGTAAACGTTTAAGGGAGTGTGTATATCTAATGTGTTTTCCACTATTTTAATAACCTTTCTAGGATATTTTAAAAGTGCAAAAATATTTCATGTTTCTCTAATGCTGTGCATGCTAATTACGCAAGAATTTGCAACAACAATTTGTTTAAAACCATTTTAGATGTATAACATGTCAGTATAACCCTTGTACATTTGTGTTGCGTATATAACACGTCTGTATCATGTATTCTGCTCTCGTAATATTGAATAAGGAAACGATTTTCAAATAATAGTTAGCATTTTTATATATGTTTAATGATCAAAAGTTGGATAACAAATTAAGTGTATCAGTAACTTACGTGATTCAGAGATACTCAAGTAGCTTTTAAGCTTAGCATGCTCCTTGGCTTGTCCTTTTTTGCCTACAAGGAATTTGGAGACATTTTTATGAATGATCCTAAAATTATTTTCTTTATCCTTAGGCAATTTTGGATGGAAGACTCATAGATCATGTTGGCTAGTCAAGCTTTTTACAACCATAGTGTCTCTTGAGCTTTTGTTTGTATTGGGTAAAATTTATGATTTCTGTATCATGCGTTATGCTTGTTGAATATTGAATTATAAGGAAAGGATGTTAAATGATACTATATAAGTTTCCATTCTTAATCTCAGTTATTTTTTTTAAAGATTATTGAGATTGGATTGATATCAAATTTATCTCAGTGACTTGTGATTCAGTGATACTTGGATTGTCAAATTGCTTTCAAACTTAACACAATCTTTGGCTTGTCATTTTTTGTCCACACAGAACTTGGAGAGATTTTTATGAATGATCATACAATGTTTTTCTCCATCGTGAGGCCTTTTTTAAGACTCACAGATCAAGTAGTTTGATAATGGATGTAAAAATCTTGATTTTAAACTTGAGTCTCTTGAGCTTTTGTTTGTCCCCTTTTCTCTTTCTGTTTCTCGTGCAGACTGTGGTGTAAAAGTTTAAAAACAGGACAAATATATGCCACAATATCACCCATAACTCAGCTCGCTGAGTCCCCACATCCATGACCCAATTAGCATTGAATTGTGAGTTGAAGATGAGTTTGGTTCTGTCCCAAGAACATTATAAATGTCTGAGATAATTTGCAAATGACTGTTGGGCCTGGGGTGGCTCTTATGCTGAGACTTTTTTTTTATGGGTGTAATGGAAAGTGGGACAAGACTTGGATTATGTTTCAATAGAGCCAGAGAAGAACCCAGAATCCCATTAGATTAATGACTTCAAATGACCAGGCTCCTTTCTTTAGCCTCATCTCCCTAAAGCTGGTATTAATTTCACTCCTGTATCTTAATTGCATGCATATAATATTACTCGCTCACTAGTTCAGAATGATCTTTGGAAAGACTGTTTAACTGAACTTGCAGCCTAGGTCTGTAACTTTGTAATCACATGAACGTTTTTGTAATGTTAGTGCTCGTTAAAAGCCTTGTTGTGTCCAAGAAATGCACCCTTTTTTGCGTAGATAATGCGAAAGTGCTTTTTTGCTGCAGTGCAGTCCACTGAGTCTACTGTCACTTTCCACTGAAGAACAGAATATAGGGGATCTGATTTTTTTTCAGTCCGTTTAATCTTCAGGGAGCTGAGTCAGGTCCTGTGCAGCTCTGGGAAATCAGAGAGGGATGTCGACAAGGAGGGAATTCTGCAGCTTGATCGAGCCATGCAATGAAGGAAGCACTCCAAGAATGCTTGAGGAGATGAAGAGTTCTTCAAACCAATCGTCATGAAGACAGCAGAAGTAATAATAGCAATAACACCAGTAATAATATGAATCCTGTATTTTGTATTTTTTTCCTGAAGAACTGACTGTAAGTGTTAAAAGAAGTATTTCAGTGTTGGAATGAAAATGACTGAGGCCGCTGTATACTCCAGTCCAGTACACTGTAAAAATGATTGTTCAAAGTTGTAAATAAAACAAAAGGAATTTTCCACTTGAAATAGTTAGCCCTGGGTCATTCTAAACACTGACTAAACAGAATATCGGGTTATCTTGTTTCATGTTTCATGCTGCTCATACTCAGGGTTAACATAATCCTGGACATTCATAAGTTACTAAACCCCAGGTTAACGTTCTAATTTGCATATCCACAGTGTCAGTGCCATTGAATTGACAGAAGCAGTACATGTTTGCATAAAGGCTCTAGTGTTGCGCGTATGCATATTATATATTGCCAACTGTACTATCACGTTTTCCATAATGGACTTTTCGAACTATAAAGGTAAGAATGAAACCGTTTCCATTTAACACAAATGTACATGTTTTCCATGACCATTTGACATTTTCCCCTCAAACTCTTAAGATGACTGCTTATATGTTTAGCAGTGTTTCAGTGACTGACCAAGGCACACGATTGGCTGTTGGTTGCTAATCATCTATCCGTAACATAACATAAAAAGCGCTTCTAAATTACAAGTGTGTTTACCTTCACCCAGGGTTAAGCACAGTTTGAAAAATTTCATGTCTAATATGTTGGTTGCAGTTTCTTTGTGATTCTTTGAGAAATTTACTGGCAATTTTTAAGTGAAACATTTTCTACACCAAATATTTTTCAGTGTAGAGATTTTTTTTTTTTTCAACAAGACAAATACTCACAGTCTCCAGTTGTCAGTTTAGTATGTTTGAAAGACTGTTGTTGTAGCTTTGATCAGGTGCGCTGTCTGAAGCCATGAGAACGAGCCCAGAGCGGTAAATAATCTGCTTCATGTACCCATGCAGAGCCTCTTTTTGCCCTCACTTCACTGAGTCAAGAGGCAGAGGCAACCGGACGGTCATCCAGTCTTCCTCTGGTCTTTAACAACAGATCAGTATGCTGAGCCTAAATAGCTCTTGTTATTAATAAAAAGGGATGCTGCAGGGATCGTTGCAATGCAGGGGTCAAGAGGTGCAAGTATTAATGCCATGCTAGTTTAATATCAGATCAGTTCTGAGCTGATTGCCAGCCCAGCAGAGATATAAAGCGTAAAGCGTCCTTCATCTGCAAGCCTGTGGGGCTTCAATTAGCTTTGTGTTATCTTCACAGGTTATGGCATTGAAGAGAGCAATCTTTTCTTCTTTTTTTTTATCTAGTGGATGATGAATTATGAATGGTTATGTAATTTAACAGTGGGAGTTTGCGGCTCTTTTCACAAGCGTGTACTAAGATAAGTGATAATGCTGAAGTCTATTAAGGATTATTTTGGATATACATAGCTATTATTTGTAGTTAAACTATAAACATGGATTTGTTAGCTTGATCAGACCTTTTGACAAAGGCTGATTTTTAGGTTACATGCATTTTGTTCATTTGTTTGCACACCTCTCAAAAACACAGTTGCATGATTCAATGTAATTATCTGTCCACACAAATGTTGGAAATTATGCGAATTGTGCCTGTTGCATTTCCACATTAAATACACATTAAACTCACAGCACATGGAGAGTAGGGATGGGTATCGAAACCCGGTATTTAATCGGTCCCGGGGCTAAATTATGAAAGACCGGAGTATCGATAAGCTCTGACGTTAACGGTTCTGCTATCGGTACTAGAGAAATTAAGAAAACACACATTTAGTTTTGCTATATATACATTAACTTGCAAATTCTATCTCACCAGAGTCGCCAGCTGTTTTTATATGCAGTGATATTAAACATTTGTCTATGATGCATTTTTGCTATTTGCAATTCAGAAGCGAGATCGCGCTCGTGCGGAGGAGCTTCACCACGTGCAACATGAAAGCCCTGCTTAATTATGATAGAGGAGAGAAGTAAACATTCAAACGTCTGCTTACACTTTAGGCCTGTGACTGTTTTATTAAGCTAATTTAATTTTTTTTATTTCGATTTTGGCTT